GTTGGTCTTGCCATGAGGAGAAAGGGTGGAGGGTACACAGTGAACTGTGAGATAATATTTGAAAAGGCTGCAGTTTATTTTATTTTGCTATGTTTAAATTTTAGCTATATCAGATCCTGCGTCGTCTTCGCCCCCCCCCCCCAGCTTCAAAAATGACTTAGGAAAGGAAGTTGATGCATGCTGATTTGGTATGAATTGTGGCTGTTTTAACTAACACACACAAACACCATCCAAAAATTGTACCATCTTTCCATAGTTTCTTTCTTTCTTTCTCTTATTATCTCAACTTCTTGCTAAATTTTAAAACAAGGCACCTTTCGTAAGACTCACAATAGATGTGACTTGCTGTACAATATCCTCCTGCAAGCTGAACTCCCAGAAATACTCAGTGTGCCTCATAAAGCAATATTAGCCTGATTTCTTGAGCTGATTCCCCACCCCCTCCATCTAGAGTTAAAAAAGCTAATTTAAAGATGACCTTGGGTTTCCCCAGGGTCTCTGGTTTATCAAGGAAGGGAAAAAGTGAGCTGATAGAACCAACTGGGGCTTCATTTATTCAGACATCCCCTCTGGAAACATCTGGTTTAGGGCGTTCTGGGTGGGTTGGCCAAATAAATAAGCTGCTGAGAAGGAATAAGATGCAAAGAAAGAAAAGACTGGGCCAAAAAAGCACCCAGAATTCAGATAAGTAGCATTTCATGACAGAAAATTCCCCTCTTAAAAGCGAGAATAGCTGGCAAGTAGGGGTCTAGAAAAGCAAGAATAGCTGGCAGATGTGGGGTTTAGAGCAGAAATGGCTAACCTGTGCCCTCCCCCTCAGATGTTACTGAACTACAACTCCCATCAGACCTGGCCACAATGGCCAAAGGTCAGTGATGATGGATGCTGTAGTTCAGCAAAATCTGGATGGCCACAAGTTAGCCACCCCTGGTCTAAAGCAACCATCTCCTTTTGGGTTTCACATCAACTAGCTCTTTCTTCCACGCTGACTGATCCTGCTAGTCTGTCTTGACTGCAACAAACTGGAGAGGAGATTGGGACTGGCACTCTGATTCAGAGTTTATATCACTTATGAAACCATTTATGTGGAAGTGCTGTGAGAAGGGGTATCTTCACTATCAGTCTCAGGAATGGGCAGACTCTGGTGGTGTTTGTCCTCAGGCAGCATCTAGAATTTGCCATCTCTGCATCTTATGACAATTAGTGCCATAAACTGGTTATGCATTGCATGGAAAAGAAGACATCATGCCCTTGGGGAAAATAGGAGGCTGTCTTAAAGTGAGTCAGACCATTGGTCCATGTAGCTCAGTATTGTACACTGACTGGCAGCAGCTCTCCATAATTTCAGGTAGAAGTATTTCCCACCCCTGCCTGGAGATGCTGGCAATTAAATCTGGGACATTCTGCAGGTAAGGCATATGCTCTACAACTGAGCTAAAACTTTTCATTTTGTTTATCCTGACCTAATACCAGAATTCTAATGTATTATTTAAAAACTAAGCAAAAAGCTCATTTGAATTGCCATTTTAGCAATGTGGTTCCCCCCCTCATTCCCAATTTATATTCCAGTTTATATTTCCAATCCAAAAAATGTTAAATACTTCAGTTTAAAATATATATATAAATCAACAGGCAATCACACTTAAATTATTAAGTGCTTAGTGCTAAATATATAATGTATTGGTTTAATTTAAGGATCACTCCCCTCCATCCCGCATGGCCACTCAGGTAAATTGCACCTTTCCCACCCATAGCAGCTGCATCGCAGCTACAGGTATGAATGAAATGCAGCAGGAGGCACACACAGGAAAAGCGCAACAATCCCAGTAGTGTAGAATGTTTTTTAAAGTCTGTTTGTAGCTAAAAGTGGAAGAGCAACAATTGATTCATACTAACAGTTGCTTGTCTAAAATCAGCTAGAGAGGCCATCCTTTCCCCTATCCATGGTGCTGCTAAGTCTTCCCTTATGGCGCCCAGGATGCTGTTCATATCCTCTCTTACCAGGAAACTGACCCCTCATCTTCAGAATTTCTGCCTTGGACAATGCCTTTTCTTATCTAGAACTTTGTTCCATTCCTCAGAATTGATCAGAAATTCTTCCAGAGAGATGGGTGGAAATAAAATAAAGTAAATGGTGCCAGTTTTATCCAAAGAGGCTAAAGTTATTTTGGGAGGGCAGTCAGTCTATGAGCTACTTTAAAGCTGCCCAAGTAGAAATCTGGTTTTTAATATAACAATTCCATCAAATCACTTGTCTCACACCCTAGAACTTTTCATTATGTTCAGTTGTAGACTACAACTCTCCATCAGCCCCAGCCAGCATGGCCAATATCCAGGGGCTGGGTAAGATCATAGCCAAAAACATCTGGAGGGCACCACATCGGCAACCCCTGATTTACAGGACCTTGAAGGTATTGGTAACATAAAGCTAGTGAAATTTATAGTTTCTTCCTTCTGTATCATTGCACACCTGCATTATTGCTCTAGTAAGCTTGTGCCTTATAATTAAGTAGTGTGCAATACCGACTTCCACTTGTAATAATTGAATCATGGTAGTTTTGTGAATAATTATAAAAGTGAATTGTTGAGGCCAACAAGCTCCTGTTGAGATAATATGGCTTGTTTTCTGAAATTAACCTAAGGATCACATGCTGGGGGGAGGGATATAAAATGTTATCAAATCAGATTGAGGAATGCCTGCTATACCTCAGCTAACTAGAGTAATTTTCTCTCCAAACAAACGGCACAACCCAGTCAAAATAAAGCACATTTAAATCCCATTGATTTCAGTGGAGTAGAGATGACATGAAGGCTGGCAACTTTAACCCCAGCATGTGATAATCCCTTGCAGACATCCACAGTGCCTGGAAACAATCAGTCATGTGTATCCACAGCAATGAACAGAGAAGGAATGACCGCTGGGAGGAGTGCAGAAAGAAGAAACGCCATTGTATATCTGCACCAGCACAACTAGACACTTTGATCTGCCCCAGCTGCAACAAAACATGTATCTCTCATATCAGTCTCTACAGCCACAGCAGGCACTGTAATTCTCTAACGGTTTGACTTCACCCCCAAGACGCACTGTTCCGTTGTGAGAGGACCACATGTTTAACCCATCCAATGAGAGAAAGAAAGATCTCACATCTTGAAGGGAATTAAGCAGCTTTAAACTCTGGGTTCATGCACTAAAGCAAAATGACATATGATTAGCAAGTTTCCACCACTGATACACTGGGTTGAAGGTCAACGAAATAGCTCATATATCTATATTTTCCACATATTCTTATACATATTCTTAGCAGTCGTGAGTTATCCAATGGAATGAGAGCCACAAATAAACTAAAAGCACCTAAAGAATGGTAGAAAACTACAATTGACATTCATGACTTTTAGGCATTGCTGAAGGATGAGATTAATTCTTAGCATTAATATGTCAGTGTTTCAGCAATACTTACAGCAAACATGTAAGGCAGAGACAGAGAAGCAGATGTTGTTGGACTACTCCCTGCCATTTGGCCATGCAGGCTGGGGCTGGTGGGAATTGGCTATTTTCAATTATTTGTCTTTCTATTTTCCTACAAGGGACTGGTTTGGATGCCTGAAAGTCCTTCATGTCGGGCAGCCCTGTGGAAAATACCATATAGAGATAGAAAAGTCTGATCCACAGTGTATGTTTATTCAAAAATGTGTGTTTACTTAGAAACATCACATTGTGTTCAGCGGGGGGCTTTATTCCCTAATAAGATAGCAGCCCTGATATGGTGTTTAGTTGACTAAGACTAAACAGGAGAACTAGGTTTGACTTCCTGCTCACTCAGCCATGAGTCTCGCTGAGTGAATTGTGACTAGTCATACACATTGTCAGCCTAAACTGGGTTATTTATTTATTTATATTTATTTATGAAATATTTGTTTCCTGCCTTTCCTAAAAGTTAACAGCAGCTGACAGTAATCTATAAATCATAGAATAATAGAATCTTAGAGTTGGAAGGGACCCAAGGGTCATCTAGTCTAACCCCCTGCAATGCAGGAATCTCAGCTAAAGCATCCCTACAACCACACATCAGTAAGTGTCCAAATAAAAACAATAAATACAAATGCAACACAAATATACCCTGTGGTTGTGAGGATACAGTGAGATAATCCCCATGTATTCTATGCCATCTTAAATTCCTTGAAGAAAGGAAAGGATAAACATAGCAACACAATACATATATTGTATCTAACTCAGTGAATCTGTGGTTATAGATGCCCTGGAAAATGTATTACTAAGTTCATGGCAAACACCACCAAAAAGTGGTACCTTTAGCTGTGAATATGCCGGGTCAGACTTCACTTTCTCTGTGTTTGGCTGTGCCCATGATGCTGGCCTTGAGTGCTGCTGTAGTGCTGTTAGCTGTGCAAGCAATGTTATGATGATAACTAGGGATGGAAAACAAGTATAGATATGCAACTTTAGTGAACCCAAAGCAAAAAGTACCTACATGTGCCTGTCCAGAAAGGTTGCACTTATACATGGAAGTCTATACCTTCTGATGTTGAATCCAAGTGATCCAAGAACCACACAGAAATGCAGAAATAACTTAGTCACATAAAGATACCCATCGTATGTGGGTGACAAACTCTCATTGCAGCCCTTGGACTGCAAAAGCTTAGTCTCTTCTTTCCTGTGGATTGCTGATATGATGAATTGAATTCTTTCAGGACTTCTAAATGGTAACCATAATTTTAATCATACAGAATAATTCATTTCACAACTGTTTTCAATATATTTCTTTGTAGAAACTAGCCATACCTGATTAAAAAAACAGGATGTAAGTATTGTACAGCTTATTGACACTGAATGGTGATTGGTCTATCGAAATATAGCAGTTCTTTAACTGTTAACAAATGCCCTCAAATAACAGGCACTTATCTGGATACCACACAACCACAGCTCAATTACCTGCATTTTTAATAGTTGACAACAATATGAAGGTACTCTTTCTTTTTCCTAGGACATGGAAACAGCTACATGTGAATATAAAACCAAAGAAAACGAGGATCTCTATGAGAACAGAAAGGTCAGTCTCTGAAATTTGCTTCACATGCTTTCACTGTTGCATCATTGTATTTTAAAAACCCAACCCCCTTTTCTTGTATATACATTACATGGTGCGTAAAGTAACAGGCAGCCCCACAGGAATGGTCAAGATGTCTCTGAGATAAAAATATATATGCTTTTGATCTTTTTATTGGGGTGGGGATTTCCTTAACTCGTAGCAGACTACTGTAATTAAGGCAGCATAATTTTCCTGAAGTAGGGGCATATAGATGTGGTGCATTTTTAAGAACTGTGCAGTTGTATGTGCTATGTAGAAATAGTAGAGGCCAAATCCCACAATGGGAAATGTAGCTTAACAATGATTTGAAGGTTTTGTATTTAAAGATTATATAGAATCTTTATAATCTACCTATAAAATTATACCTATTTTATTCTTATGTCAGAATAGTGTTTTCCACTTGCACAATGGTTTTAGCATAAAGTATGCTATAAGCAAGAGACCAGACCTTGAATGATCTCAGGAATCTATGGTTGCATAAACAGGTACAGTGGTACCTCGGGTTACAGACGCTTCAGATTACAGACTCCGCTAACCTAGAAATAGTATCTCGGGTTAAGAACTTTGCTTCAGGATGAGAACAGAAATCACTTGGCGGTGGCGTGGCGGCAGCGGGAGGCCCCATTAGCTAAAGTGGTACCTCAGGTTAAGAACGGACCTCCAGAACGAATTGAGTTCTTAACCCGAGATACCACTGTAGTCATAAACTTCCAAGAAGAACACTGCAGAGAAGCTGTTGTAATGTAACTTTTTGTAAGTGTAACATTTTGTATGGATTCAAAGTGGATCACTCAACAGACAGTCTGACTTTACAGTCTATCAGCGTTCTGGTTTAGTTGCTTACCTTGGGACCTATGAAGGCTGGAGGCCACTCATTTTGAAAGCTTGTTCTTTAGTCTAGCATGTTATCTACTCTTGAACATAGATGTGGTCCTCCAAATCTTGTTGGACTCCATCTCCCATCTCCCCAGCTAGCAAGGAAGCCCAATGGCCAGAGATTATGAGAGCTGTAGCTCCGAAGCATTTAGACACCCCTGTTCTACACCATCAGTTACAAAGAAAATAAAGTATGCTTCTTATCTCAGATGTCAAAACCCAAAATCCCACCTTTACTGTTTTAGATGACTTTATGTATAGGATATCTCTGTTTCTGTAAGCCACTTTCACATGAAACTGGAGCATTTTGCTGTCAACATATTATGGGGTACCAGATAGAAAACCATTTCCAATCCTCCTTAAATGCCCAATTGATCTTGCCTCAAAGTCTAATAGTCTTTCCCCCCCTCCCTGTGACAATTGTAAATTATTCTTTTAAAAAATTATTATTATTATTATCAAGATGCTCTCCCCCCTTCCAATGTACTGCACAATAACTCTCCCCTGGAAACCCAGCTGAATGTATAATTTTTTACCACTCTGACTGTCAGATGCTTAAAAGCTACCGCTGGAGGTGTTTGCATAAAAGAGTTCCTTTGTGGATCTCTGAGAGAATCTAGCAATGTTCTTGATAGTATCCCACCATGCTGATAAGGGCTGGCTGCTCTAGTTGCATCTGACTTAATGACTATGCATGCTTTTTCTCCGTGTATCCATCCCATCAATTCTATTCTACATTAGCATGCAGCTTGTGCAAGGCTTGTACAAAGCAGTGGAATTTGGGAGCTGTTCAAACCTGTTTTTGGTATAAAAATAAATGTAGAAGAACAATACATACAGGAAATCTGGACCTTCTTGTCTTTGGGCTTGTTTCCTTGCATATGTCCAAGTTCCATGCCATAGGGGGCGTAGGAAGGTGATGGGGTTCAAAAGTTCCATCTGATTAATTGGATTCTACTCCATTTATGTCATGACAGATTTGCTATTTTTTTTAAAGGAAGGCTGGTATTGTAGAATTGTTATCTGATACACGAGACAATTGTATGTAACTGAAAATTGGTGGGGCAAATTCCCCTGACCTTTTTTCCCCCCTTTTGCCCTCAAATTTCTGATTATTCAGTTGGGCTGGCACTCTGTGTGAGCTCTAAAAAGCACATGGGGATGCTGTGTGCATGGGGATTTCAATTCCTTTCAGCAGAGGGAGTTGATAAGTTGGTGCTGTGGGATGCTTCTGCAGACTGGCTCCCTCTTTGGAAATGCATGGAGAAGTGGAGCAATGCACCAGAGTCCCCACAGCCAGCACAGATAGCTGGTTTGGAAGTTTTTAAGCATTTGTTTTCTCCTTCCCCAACAGCTCAAGGCCTGAAAAATACTTCAGAACAAAATGTAAATATAGATAGTCATTGGGGGAGAAACATAATGCATTTATGCTAATGCCAGCTTACACTTACCCTATTGGGAGCTACTGAAGACAGGAAGAAAAACAGTCAAAACATACTTGATATTTGGCTTGTCTCTAAAGAAGGCCTGTCTGTTTCAAACTTCAGAAATCCTCCTAAGAATGCCCCTCTGCACATCCTTTCTGTTTAAACACTGAGAAGAGATGTGAGAGCTGAGACAGAAAGGTTGTGCTTTTGTTCCCCTATCCTTCAACCCCAGCTTCCTGCTCGATGCTCCTCTTGATCTACCCATCCTATTAGGATAGTCACCGCTACCTTGCCTATTGGGATATTTACCAGCACTGTGGGTGCACCCATGGTTTGGGAAGGCTGAGGCTATTTCTGCATACACGCATGCATATTCCCAAATGGTACACCCTCTCTCCCACATATACAGTGAGAAAAAGAAACCACAGAAATGGATACTAGTAATTCTAGCTGCTACATACAACCATTGTTGTGATGGACATGGATCTCATTGTTATTATGGAAGAAGCTGGGGAAAGGGTGGATTGTTTTTTCCACTTTAGCCAGATACATAAATATGCTATGACACCATTCTCAGGGAGTGGAAGGAACTAATGAGAGATACTTTAGTCCAAGTTTCCCGTGCAATGCTTGAATGCAGCAGCAAGGTGGTTAGTGGGTACTTGCATGTGGGAGCTTATCACCCCCATTTCACAACAGTGGCCACCAATTTCTTTCTGGCACAATTCAAGGGGATGGAGTTTACCTTTAAAGCCATAGATATCTTCGGTCTAGGTTAGTCATCTCCTTTACTGTTCTGCCCTAAGACCTGATGGGGTTCTCTGCTCTGTCCCAAATCTGGCAGATTTTTCAAGACAGCTGAGAGAGAGCCTCTTCATTCTCCATTCCTTGAGAGGGCTTTTTGGACCCTCTCTCCACCAGTCTTCCACCAGCTATTTAAAACTTTTAACATTGTTATTCAGACTTCCTTTGCTGTAGAAGTGCTGTCTTCACTGTAAAAGGACAGGACAGGAAATTCCCAAAACAAATAAATAAGCTGCTCACCTACAGCCATCTGGAACTGCCATCAAGTCCCATGAAAGGATATTTATTATTACATTGTGATCTGAAAATAGCGAAGTATGAAATCTGGACAGAGTTGCATCTCTGAACTAGACTGAAGCCAGGAGTAGATAACCATTGTTTAATGAATGCCAGAGAATAATATTAAAAGTCTATTTTTCTTTTTTAAAAAGACTAAAGAATAAAACTTTCCTAGTTTCACTTTCTATGCCATAAAATACAGTATATGGCATTGCCCATCATAGGAGCCAATTCCTAGGGGCCATGGGGGCTTTTGCATCCACAGTAAAATATTTGAGGGGACAGGCCCCCATAAAGTTGATTGGCATTCCCATTCAAATGGTGTGTGTGCACTGTCATGTGATCAGTTATGCAGGGCAGGGCTTACCTGAGCCCCCACAATATTTTATTCAAGTTGGCATCCCTGTTGTCCATAGAAGGCATTGTTCTGAGTTCAAGGTCACATATCACTACAATCATTGTATGGTGGAAAGTGGAAGACAAAGGAAAAAGGATTGACACATGGGTTTCTCTGTGATTCTGCACCATGCCATATTCAGATGTCTGGAAACCTTCTCAGGAGAAATGGAATATTTTAGGATGAATATTTCTCTTTTGTATCAGTTTAGGATTATTCCTGCTGTGTCGTTATTCCACCCTTACTCTCGCCCCATCTTTCTTTTGTTGGCTGCCACATAATAGTTGTTGTGTTATTTGTTGTTTGTTTAATATACATCCCTTCATCTGAGGTTCACAGGGCAATTTACAGTATAATACATAACATAACAAAAACCAAAAACAGTAACCCTCCATCACCCAGTTTAAAAGGCCATAGAATGTTCCATCAGCTAAAGGCCTCGTTATATAGGAACCTTCTCTTCTGGTGCTGCTGCTGAGAAGGCACTGTCCCAACGTACCTGCTAAAGTGTACCACCCATTGATGGTTGGGGATCTTCCTATGGGGTGAGGATGGTGAGAGTTGCTCCAGTGCAAGATCCTGGACTAGATGATCTTCAGGTTCCTTCAAACCTCACAATTCATGACTGTTAAGTAAAATATATAAAGTCAGATTACCACCCAAAAGCTGCCCGTAGGACATAATTCTTCCTGCTTATGCTATTAACGAGGCAGACCTGTTGTCCCCTTACAAGCTGCAAATTACACAGGCAAATGTAATTACCCATTCCCTTTGTTATTAGCACTCAGTGAGGAAGTTTCCAGCCATCCTTCCTTTCATGGCATTTCAAAGCTTTCTCATAAGATGCATTCCTGATATTAAAGACAATGAGATGTCCTTTTTTTTAAAAAAAGAATTCAATTAAACATATGCCTACTGTGACTCTTTATTCACAGCAAATTGTCTCTGTAAATAATCTTCATCAAAAGTCAGAACCAATCCCCATTAGTTGTTTAGATTAATTAATGAGTCCCCCTGGAGCCACCCAAATGAATTCAATTTAAACGTCAACAACTTGGCTACGGAGTTTCCCAGGTTGGCATTAAGACAATATTAAACCTGCAATAAGTCACATTTAAAATGTTAATTCGGAGAAGCTCTCCATTTAGAGCACTTAATTAAATCCTTAAATAAACTGC